ACCAATGACACGGACATCTACAGTATATTTATGCTTTTCTTCCCCACAGCGTATATATGCATAAACTTTCTCCTCGCCACCCAATGTCTCCATTTATTTTTCTAATTTGCAAATTCAGTAGGTGATAAAAGGTTCCTGTTTTACTTTGCATTTATTTGATTGCTAATGAGTCTGGAGGCTCTTTCATGGTTAATATTCACTTGTCTTTCTTCTTTGACGATTTATTTTTCTTCTTCACACCATCTCCTTACTGCTACAAGTCTGACTGCTCTGTGTTGGTTGGGGACATTTGGAACTTGGAAGAAGCGGGTATTTCACAGATGAGGAAGCTCAGCCACAAGGAGCCCAAGTTCACATCTTCAGTGAGCACCGAGGCCCGAACCAGAGCCTCCATTGCCCGGGTCCACCTGAGCGCTGATTCTGCTCCCCATGCCAGTTCTTTGTCAACGGGTCATGGACATGGGGAGCTCACTACCCAAACATACCGTCATCTTTTGGGACATTTAATAATGGCCTTAATGTCATCAGAAACCATCCCCACCATCAACTTGATTGTCAGTTTATTAAAAGCCTCAAAGTTGGGTTGGCTCATTCATTGGACGTCTGCCTTTGGCTCAGGTCCTAGGGTCCTGGGATGGAGCCCCACATCCAGCTCCCTGCTCTGCTGGGAAACCTGCTTCTTCTTCTCCCCACATCCCCTGCTTGTGTTCCCTCTATCACTCTATCGCTATCAGATAAATAAATAAAATCTTTAAAATAAATAAATAAGTGCCTCAAAGGATGGACTTTTGTTAAATGTTATTTAATAAAACGATGGATTGTGTATTGTTATTGAAGGATAATAACTGCTTACTAAAAGATGAATATTATTTATTAGAGGATGGATTTTTATTTATTAAGGCACCATCCAACCAATGCCAAACTAATAACAACAACAACAACAAAACAGGTTAGAGTTGCTTTCAGTTTCTTCTGATCCCTGTTTCTTCTGTGACGTGGGATGACCCAGAGTCATTAGCACTATGAACAAACACTTCTATTGATGAAGGGCACCATACTTCACCCTTTCAGGTAGTGATAATTGAAGTCAAAAGGGAACACTCAGGTTATGTCCTTTCATGAGGACAAATAATAAGAATGAGCTGCATCCAGTCGTCAGCACTGTGCTTCTAGAAGAGTGCTGCAAAAGGGAGGTGGTATCGTTCTCACCCTGCTCCCCAGCTCACACACAGAGGACTATGGACTCTTCCTCCATGTTTCTGCTGCATGACGACACCATTGCCTAGACGTGCTTGCTTCCCTCTGGCTCTCCTCCTCGCTACCAGCAGCTTCTTCTCTGTCTCCTCCCTGGATCTCTTCCTACATACCTCTTGGGCTTCTGGGGTCCCTGCTGACCCTCTTACTCTACAGTCTATTCCCGGGTGGCCTTGTCCAACCCCTTCCTTCAATAGTACCACACTCTGATGACACCAAAATCTCTAGCTCTAACTCAGACTAGAATATCAGACCCTGTATCCCCCTCGTCCTGGATGTCTCCAGCTGGGCCACTCACAGAGGCACACCAGCCCCAGCTGACCCAAAGCAGAGATCAGACCTTTCCGGCTACTCTACGCTTGCTCTGGTATTCCTAGTCTTGTAAGCCAAAAAACTAGATATTTTGGGGCACTGCTCCTCTTATATGTTCCCTGCACCTGTCCCTTTTGTATGTTATATGTATTATATATTATATTTTATTTAAGTTTATTTATTCATTTGAGGGAGGGGGGCAGAGGGAGAGAATCTCAAGCAGACTCCCCACTGAGCTTGGACCACCCCCCCTTCGTGGGGCTCTATCTCACGAACCTGAGATCATGATCTGAGCCAAATTCAAGAGTCCAACGCTCAACAGACTGAGCCACCAGGTGCCCCTTATATGCTGTATTCTCTTTTTTTTTTAAGATTTTATTTGTTTATTTGACAGAGATCACAAGTAGGCAGAGAGGAGCGCAGAGAGAGAGGAGGAAGCAGGCTCCCCGCTGAGCAAAGAGCCCCATGCGGAGCTCGATCCCAGGACCCTGGGATCACGACCCGAGCCAAAGGCAGAGGCTTTAACCCACCGAGCCACCCAGGTGCCCCTATATGCTGTATTCTTAAAATGAAGTAAGTTGGAGAAAAGAAAATGTCATTAAGAAAATCATAGGGGAAAGAAAACACATTTACAGTACTGTACTGTATTTATCAGAAAAAAACCTGCATGTAAGTGAACCCAAGCAATTCAAACCCATGTTGTTCAAGGATCAACCACGTGTGTGTCTGTGTGGTTGTGTCTGCTGTGTGAGTGTGTGCAATGGATTCCCACCCGTATCTCTGCTTAGAATCCAACATCACTGAGTTCAGTTTAGTTTCTTCCTCTCTATATTTCTAATTCTCTTCTCTGATGGTGAGAAACTTGGCCGCCATTATCCTCAACATATTTACTTATTTGGTCCGTCCACCGGGCAGTAAATCACCTCCTACGTGGGCCACTGCCTTTCCCCCACCCCTGAACCAATATTCCCCCAACGCTGTCAGGCCACTGCTGCCACTGGCCTCTGCCCTGGGACCCACTCCTCACCCAGCAGAAGCCCTGAAGCCACGGCCGGGTCCCCTCTACCCCTCCCTCCCCACACTGTGCATTTGGCCTCCCCCAGGCTGGGCTACTGCCCCCTCACCGGGCTTGCAGCTCAACACCTCACACAGGCCACAGGGAGTCAGGCTGATGGCGGTAAAGGGTACACTTAGCACACACCTCCCTCTTGCAAAAATCAAAAGAATTATATGCCAAAAAAAAAAAAAAAAGAATTATAGGCCATTTGGCATCTGAATGCAAGAGAGGTGTTTGAGAAGAGAGATTTGACATTGTTCAAACCACACTGCAGAGACGAGGGCCTCTTCTGCCTGTGCCTAAGGCGGCTTTGCCTCGAAGCCACATTGTCAAAGTGACTCCTAGATGCAAGTCCCAAGCAAAGCAGTTTGGCCCCCTGACCCTCAGTTGCTTTGCATAATTGGCATTTGAATGTATTTCTGGAAGGCTGGGGTGTAAGACAACCTAGGCAATGAAAAGCACTTTGCCGATGTGAGTCTTGTGAAAATGCCAAATGGAGATAACGAATCAACAAGGGAAAACAAGCCTGGTGGTTTCCATAGCCGGTTACGGATGTGGGCTTCGCAGAGCCGTGTCCTGGCAGGTCTCCTTGAAACTGCTACCTGCACTTCCCTCTCCCTGAGAGAGAGAGGAACAGGTGGACAGTAGAGCTGACAGACAAGCAAGGAAAATCAAAGACGGCTGAGAGTTGTGGGGTTTCTTCAGCTTTATCGGGGCATAAGGCAGAAAGTTATGCTATATATTTTGCTTGCTGAAGTTTTCTCTAGAGATTCCCATTCAATGGCCACAGTCCTCCCATGGTCCTGGATTCCTAGCCTGCCACATCACTCTTAGAAGAAGGAAGGGAGGAAGGGAGGGAGGGAAGGGAGAGGGAGCAAGAAGGAAGGAAGGAAGGAAGGGAGGAAGGAAAGGAGGAAAAGAGGGAGGGAGGGGGGGAGGGAAGGAGAAAGGAAGGGGGAGCAAGGGAGGATGAAAGAGGGGGAAGAAAAGAAGGAAGGTAGGAAGGAAAGAAGGGGGTGGGAGGGAAGGAGGAAGGGAGGGAAGAAAAGAAGGAAGGAAGAAAGGCTGGAAGGAAGGGAGGGAGGGAGGGAGGAAGGGAGGGAGGAAGGAAGGAAGGAAAAGGAAAAAGAAAAACCAACAAACCAAAAAAAAGAGAGAAAAAAAAACAAACTCCATAGTGGGTCATCTGAAACCCTTTCTTGTTCCTCCGCAACCAAAAAGAGAGGCCTGACCCTAGGCTGGACCTCCCAGGTGTGCAGCTCTAGAGGAAAGGACAAATTCCTCCTTCTGTGTGTGTGCAGCAAAGCTGGACAAACAGAAACCTATTTGTGAGATGGAATTTCCATGGTAGGTAAGGGATCTGACGGCAACGTGCAGGGCAGGGACATCTGTCCTGGTATTAAACGCCTCATGTCCGGCTTCCTCTTACTTGAGCCACGTGCATGGAGAAGCAAAAGCTTTCTGCTCCCTTTCCAAGTGTACAGCAGGATCGACTTACAACAGGTCTCAGGGCAAGGAGAGGCAAGGGGCTGACCTTGTCCCCTGGAAGTCATTTGGTGCACCTGGAGATCTGGGTTGTTGGAGATGAGAGGGGGTCTATCAGCCAGGGACACTGCTGAGCGCCCCACCACGCACAGAACCGCTCCCTACGACAAAGAAGGATCTGGCCGAAATGTCACAGTGCGAGCTTGGGAAACCTTGCTCTAGAGGGAGGCTTCAGACCACCTTCTCGCTGCTGCTTACAAAGCAATTGAACAACATCCCATACGGTCTCCCTCCAAGCGACCCCCACCCCCGTCCCGGAAATAATTGCCAAGAGACATCAAAGACAAGGCGGAGCAGAAGATTTCTTTCGGTGGAGCCTTGCCACCATGGGCTGCACGTCCGAGTTTATAAGCCACAGAAGCTAGGATGAACTCTGGTGCCCACTAAGGAAAGGCAAAACAGAACAAAACAAAACAAAAATCCAGCTTGCCTCTGGCCCTGCCCAGCTGCTTCTAGTCCAGTGATTTCCCCAGAGGACTCAAATATAGTAACAAGCCTTTCAGACCCCAACTCTTTTATCACTTGTAGCAACAAATTAAATAGCCTTGACCGCCCCCACGGCCACAGCAGCCTCATGAATCAACCCTCCGGTCCTTGCCCCCCCCATCATGAGCCAAAGAGAAAAAGCCAACACAGAAGTTTCAACCCCAAAGTTGAAAAACGGCATCTGAGGCCAGTTCACCCGGCAAAGAAGCACATTTTTCAAAACAAAGGCAGGAAGGGGGGGACAGAGGTTTGGGCCAACACACCCCAAATGCCTAACACACCGTCACAACAGCCGGCACAGAAAGAGTTCACTGGGCAATAGGTTCTTGAAGAGGGAAGATCTTACTCTGGTTGCCAAGGGCGGCTGAACAATTCAAACCTGGGGCGCAGACTCACTAGCTCCATTTGCTCAGGGAGGGTCAGAGGTGACAGCAGGGACGGCGCCCCTTCGCGTCCTGGGGCCCCGCCACCCCGCCAGCCTGCAGGGTCTCCGGTCCCCACGTCTCCGAGGACGGCGGCAGCCTCCTTCCCTGGAGAAAGCAGAACCGCTCTCCCACTGCTGAAAATATTTGAGATGTGCCAAGCAGATGGTCCCACGCTTATCAGCAGAAGCCGTGCTTCAAATGGCATCATTCAGTGAGACGCTCGAGGGGAAATCTTCACGCGGATCTGGAGTGGGAACGAGCTGCTGAGAAGGCAGGGTGCTCGACCCCCGGGAACCGTCGGGGCCAGCCAGGGCTCAGGAGAGAGGTGACCCAGAGGAGTGTTCTACGGAAGGGCAAAACCACACAGGGGGCAGAAAGACAGACCCCTGCCATTCCTGACAGCCTGGAACTAGCTGACTGGTCTCGGCAAAGCGCATTAAGACTCTGTTTTCTCGCCTATAAAATGGGGCCAATCCTAGTACTGCCAGAAGTTGCAATGAGGAAATGAGGTGTGGGTGTCGATGTCAACCTGCATAGTGAGGGACACGCTGTTTGGTCACTAAGTGCCCATTCCCTCCGTACAGCCCGTGTTCAGGGTCACAGCCCATGTTAGCGCACGAGCACGGTGCGGTGGACCTGGGTGTCCAGACCGCTTCTCCGCCTGGTTCGGACACTCACCCCTCCAGCACCTGTTCCCGTGACATGCATTCTCACCCCTGCAGTCATGTTACCCTTCCCCCACCTTCCCCACCTCCCCCACCTCACCCTGACCCCTGTCCTCTCTCCAACAGCCCCAGTGTAAGGGCTTAAAGGCCAAGCTGGAAAATTCTGGATGGTTTGACTCACCCAGCCCTGCCACAAAGACCCACCTATTCTTCCTCATCAAAAGCACCCCTTCACGGTTACTGTGTCAAAGTAGGGAGGGACCCTGGGGACCAATTAGATCGAAACAGGGCGAGAAGGCGATTTCAGATTCTGTGGGAAAGCAGACTCGGGAGCCCATATATCAGGCTTTCCTCGAACTGTTTCCATAAGCCACAGGGCTGAAGTGAGCCCTGCTGCTCCTGTGGGAAGCACGACGGGTGGCTCTGTCCTCCCCAGGGTGGGTGGGAGAGAAGAAAAAGGAGAGCAGGAGCTTTCCCTCAGGACCTCCAAGCCATGAGCAACTCAAGGTGAGGTTTGGGGGACCATGCAGGTGCTTTCTGCAGCAAATCAGAACTTCAGGGGTGCTTGGCCCAGGAAGCCCAAGTGCGCTCGCATTACCTGGTGTTGACGTTCCAAGGGAGGAGAGGGGCAGCCTTCTGGGACTTCACACTCCCAGAGGATCATCAGAAGCTGGAAAGAGACCTGGGAGCGCCTAAAGCAAACCACGAGGCAGAAAAGAAGGAGCACTTGGCGGGAAGGAGGTCAGACAGGTGCAGGCAGAGGGCGCTCGGAGAGAAGCACCGGGCCTCCGAGAAGGGTGCAAAGTCAAGATCCAGAAGGAGGAGATGCCCCGAAGGGAAAGGGAAGTGAAGGAGAGCGGGCAGGGCCAGAAGGATCCACTCTGCTCCTCTGCTCCACGTTTGTTGCTTCTCAGAAGCTCAGGGACTGTCCGGATTTTATGAACGTTTCGCTTTGTCCCTACGGGGGCTGTGAAACCCTGAGCAGAGTGACCAACTGGAAGGAAGACTCCAACGTCATTATTTAAGTCAACAGAACACGGGGCCTCACCAGTTCGCTTTTTCCAGCTCTCCACAGAACAGAAAAGTCTGTCCATGCTGGCAGAGAACGAGTTGCCCAATTTGTAAATTGTTGACAGTCACGGGGTGAACAAGGACCAGGCCACCAGGACGGTGGAGAGACAAGGTGGTGCCCAGGTGAGGGCAGAGGGCATAGAGGGGCAAGGGCCGGTCAGGGGGAGCCTGGAAGAGAGGGTGCGCTCTGCCCCCAGACTGAGTGGGTGGTAGGAGGCTCCGATTGCTTTGTGACTAATTGGCACCCCTAACAAGAGCGGGGCCCCTGCAGATGGAGCTGGGGTTTCATTTGTGGTAGATAATGATTTCTACTTAGAGAAAATACAGCAACTCTCTGTAAAAATAAAACTGCTTGCATTTAAGCCACAAATAGGTTGGCTATTTCTGTGCCTGGCTTGTCTTTGTGAGTAATCATCTCCTCTTGAGAGGTAGGGAGAGTTTGGGGGAGGGAGGTGTAGACAGAATAGGGAACAGAGCCAGCGGAGCCCGGGGAAGTGAAGTCTGTGGTCCTCAACGTCCAGCGTGGAAGAAAATTCTAGCTTTACCTCCATGAGCCAAGTCCCACCTTCCAAAGTTCTCTAGAGAAACACCGTTCCTCTTTCTCCCAACAAACAACAGGGAAATGGGGCCTCGGGCCTCGGGAAGGGCATTATAGGAACAAGGAAAGTGGGAGTTAGTAACCCAAAAGGCCAGAGAATGGACCCATAAGTGGTAGAACCCGTAAGGGGAACTCACTCCAATTCCAAACGCTCTCAGTGCCATGGAGCGCTTGCTCCGGTGCTAAACCCAGAGACGCCCAGTGAGTTCCACTCACATCCTAGAATGTACTCCTCCGCTGGAAGGAAGTCGGCCTTACCCTGGATGTTGAGCTCAGGATGACAGGGAGACAGCCATCAAGTGCTTCCCCAGAGCCCAGCACTCCCTCTTAGAGTTAGATGTGGGGGCGGGGGAGGGGGTGGTTGGGTGGTCAGGATACTGAGAGAGGATGGCTGGGGCTGGGGCAGGGGCAAGGGCTCATTTTCATAGGAAGATAACAGACCTCAGAGTCTGGGTTTGAAACGGCAGATCTCAGAGTGGCAGACGGCCCTTCCTGTACAAATTGTCTTGCTCCAGCATTTGGGAGCCGAGCAACTTCAGGTATGTTAGAAATGTGGACTTGCCACCCTGACCAGAGTGATGAGTGTGATTCTCTCACTCATCTGTTTAATTGACAGGGCAGGCCCCACCCTCTGCCCACAGTCCTGCACGGAAGACTTCAGATCTCACAGGCCAGATAAAAATCCAAGATAAAACCCTGAGAACAGAACTCTCCCAGGCTGATCTGAATCCCATCAGCCTCGGGCATTCTTCTCCAGGCTTCTCCTAGCCTGCCCTGTCTGGGATTGGTTGGGTCTCTCCCAAGTAATGAGCCTCACTCTCAGTACACATTTCTTAAACATCAAATTTTAAAGAAAAATGGCATACTTCTCCCCCTTGTCATTTCTTTTCCTGCAAGGAGACTGGCCTCCGTGGTGGGGCAGAGACCACGGCAGGTAAGACAATACGGGGAAGCGAACCCACCAGGAGGTCACAGAGGTCACCATCCTCCATGAACCCTGGGAGGATGAGACCCAGCTGTGGGAGTTGAGGCCTCCAGCCTCCCACCGGATTTAGAATGTGCCAGAAAGGAGACTCTTTGCAAGGTGGTGAGGAGAGTGTGCAGGATGTGAGATGAGGCTGTGTGGGGACGTGGGGACACTCCTGTATGGCACTTCTCCACAAAGACACACATCTCAGGCAAGTTCCCTAATTTGAACAAAGGGAATATCTCCTTGTCCTCCCAATCAGCACCTAATCAGCTACACAGACACTTTATCCTCCAGATTCTTTACCTAGATTGTAATCCTGTGCTCTCCCTTGTCCAAACATCATGAAAAAAATCCAGTTGTGAGAAAGAATATTTTTGGAGCATCGCCTTGGGACATGGAGTCTATCCACTCCTCTAGATGTTCTAAATATTACCCTGGGTTCAGCCCTGCGTACTTGGCCAGCATTGTCTTGGCCCTTCATAAAACTCTAATTTCTAAATTACCCTTTGGAGATAGTCATCAGCTAGCATTTAGAGGCTCTATAAAAAAAAAAGAGAGAGAGAGAGAGACATAAAAAGATCAAAACTGTGTTCATGTAGGATCTGGCTAGCAGCCTTCCCACCAGACCTACAGAGTCTCCTCCTGGAGATTTCTGCTTTAGGAATAACTGAGCTTCCATCAGCTGTGTAACTGGGCTTTCTTGTTTTTTCTGTTGGAAAGCAACATATTTGACCTGCATTTGAAATGGACCCCAGGGCTGTTTAAAAGAAAAAATGTCTGCAATCACAAATTGAGTCAGGGGTCTATGTGGGCACCATTAAATTTGCATCCGTTATCCCTTTTCTGCTCCTGAACGTGGATTTGGACAATATTTTCGTTTTTACCTACAACATCCTGAAGGAGCTGGAAACAGGTCAGTCACTTCCAAAGGCAGTGTTGGGTCTACCACGAGTATCTAACTTCCACAGCAGTGACTGGACCCGTGCAGAGAAGAGTTCTCTAAGTACGGTGGTCGCACCTATTAAATGACACTTTTAGAGTGACTTGTTTATGTGTCCATTCTCCCCACAAAACTGAGCTCCGTGAGGTGGAGGCAATGCTTTACTCATTTAGTACTAGCTGAGCAAAAGAACAAATTAAATAAGCCAACTCTGTTTAGAATTGCTGCCACAATTTCAGATGTTGGTTGCTTTATGACGGTTTTATAATGGTTAGAAAATTGTTTTATGATTTCTTGAGTGTTCATCTGATTTTCCCAATAGACTGTAAGTCCCGGGAAAGGAACCACGTCTGGGCTTCCCTGTGTGGCCCGTACAGGGCTGAGAACAGTGGAGGTGAGCGTTGCCGGGCAACTGGACAGGTACTGGGCTCCGTGGAATGCTGGTGGGGCCCCAGGTTGATGTTTTGCTGAAACGGTCTATCTTGGCTGGTTACCCCGCAGCATCTAGCAAACCAGTCACCTGAGTGTAACGCGATACCATGCTGGTGATTGAGGTTTGTTTGGGGTATGCGTGGCATCAGTCATCGCCACCTGTCATAGTACAGAGATGAGGACTTGCTATCTCTCTCTTGCTGAACCAGAGTGTCTAGTCATGGCCTGATGGACACTCCGCAGATGGTTTTAGTGGTGGTTTACAGAGGTGAAAATGGAGCCTTGCCTCCCTTGTCTGAAAACAATCTGAGTTAACACCCAAATTCCACACCATCCATGGGGCTCATTATCGGTAATTTGATGACCATATGTTGCCCTAAAGAGAGACACTCAGCATCTGTGGCCAAGAAAACAATGGTTAAATATTTCTGGCAGGTGTATCTCCCTTAGTGTTGCCCAGCTTCCCCATGTTTACTAATAAAAACTGTATCATAAACAAAAATGTCC